GGGTGTCGTTGTTCCATCATTTTATGGATGTTCAGTGCAGTAAGCTGTTACTTCATTTTACAGCCATTTTATTCATTCTTTATGTTATTGATATTTCATTGTATATATATATATATTATATTACAGATATCGTTGTTGATTCATTTTACAGATGTGCTATTTGGGTGTCGTTGTTCCTTCATTTTATGGATGTTCAGTGCAGTAAGCTGTTACTTCATTTTACAGCCATTTTATTCATTCTTTATGTTATTGATATTTCATTGTATATATATATATATATTATATTACAGGTGTCGTCGTTGGTTCATTTTATTTGTCGTTGTTTCTTCATTTTATGGATATTCAGTGCAGTAAGCTGTTACTTCAGTTTATTTATTCTTTATGTTATTTCATTGTGTATATATATATTATATTAAATGTGTCGTTATTGGTTCATTTTATTTGTCGTTGTTGCTTCATTTTACGATGATGTTGCTCTACTTTGTATGTATTCGTTGTTTAATGTTACAGATCTTTTATTTTGATGTAATTTTATTAAGTTTTTTGTTTTGTATGTTGCTTTTTCCTGGTGTTTGTTTTGTTGGTGTTAATTGTTTCGAATTACATAAGTTCTTGGTGTGGTTGCTGCTTCATTTTACGGATGTTCTGTTCGATGTGGCGTCGGTGTTTAATTTAAATACGGTATTATTTGTTTCTGTTTTTGTCTGTATGAGCTTTTATATGGCTCTAATGTATAAAATGGCTAGGTGTGATGTTTTGGCTCTAAGTGTATAAAATGGCTGGGAGTGGTGTTTTGGAAATGCATGTGCTTTTATTTCTTCCTTTTTTTTCTACTCCTGCTAGCTAGAATAAAGTTTTAAGGCTATTCAGCTGTTCAGTGAAATCTAGTACTCAGGTTTTCTTAAGCTCTAAGTTTTCTAATGGTAGAATAAAAACATTTAAGCCCACGTTATGTAATAATAGGCTCAACTTTTCTTTTGCAAGAATATAAATACCCATATCATAGGTAGTGTTCAGGAGGGGAAACCTACACTAATCATAGGTAGTGTTCAGGAAGAGAAACCTTCACTAATCATAGGTAGTGTTCAGGAGGGGAAACTACAACATATCATAGGTAGTGTTCAGGAGGGGAAACCTACACCATATCATAGGTAGTGTTCAGGAGGGGAAACCTACACCATATCATAGGTAATGCTCAGGAGGAGAAACCTTCACTAATCATAGGTAGTGTTCAACGGGGGAAACCTACACCATATCATAGGTAGTGTTCAGCGGGGGAAACCTACACCATATCATAGGTAGTGTTCAGGAGGGGAAACCTACACTAATCATAGGTAGTGTTCAGGAGGAGAAACCTTCACTAATCATAGGTAGTGTTCAGGAGGGGAAACCTACAACATATCATAGGTAGTGTTCAGGAGGGGAAACCTACACCATATTATAGGTAGTGTTCAGGAGGAGAAACCTTTACTAATCATAGGTAGTGTTCAGGAGGGGAACCTACACCATATCATAGGTAGTGTTCAGGAGGGGAAACCTACACCATACCATAGTTAGTGCTCAGTAGGGGAACCCTAATCTCTGTTATTTAATAATGTTCATTCTTTACCTAAATCCCTAAGTTTAATAATGTTCGTTCTTTACCAAAACCCCTAAGTTTAATAATGTTCATCCTTTACCAAAACCCCTAAAATCTCGTACTTAGCTGAAAGGAAGATATGCGATCCTGTAGTGTTTCTTCGCGAATTTCAATGAAACTACACTGATGTTTAAAACAGCACTCCACAGGATGCATCAGGGATAGGGCAAATATACAGCGAAGAGAGATAACTAACAGACAGACAGACAGGCTGACGACCCGTCACTACCTAGATTCAGGTACAAGGTCGCCCGTCTCCGGTACCAATCCTACGTTTGATCTGGCAATCATTCAGTGGGTAAGCTTGAACAAAGAAACGTTTCAGGGGTTAACAAGTGGCCAGCCCACCACCGGTATCTTGATGTATGTTCAGCAGGACATCTCAGTATAGTCACTAAATCTGTTGGCTAATGGAGTAGGCTGGTTACAAAGGGTTGAGAATTGCCCCTGGCCCAGTTCAGTCATTTCGAACATGACTGCAACAGGAGATAATGGCGCATACAATATACATATATATATATATATATATATATACATATATAAATGATTCTTTTTTATCAAAAGATTGTTGTTGTTTTTCTAAACAAAAAACATTTTAATTTCACCCCTTGTAACTTTTTATAACGCCAAGTATGTTTAAAATCTAAAACTAAAATACTTCATTACAAAGAATAGACATGTCGAAAAATATCCCCAGTTTCGGAGAGGGTATACTAGAAGGTGGTGTCTTCGTCATAACCCCTCCCCCCAAAAAAAATAACGTTTTAGTGTAATAATCTATAATTATAGTCCTGTTTTAAAACTTCAAGAAAAGCAACATTGAAAAGCCGTAATTGAATCATCATATGAATATCTTAATTATTATGGCTATACACACAACGTATATATATAATCATAGCCGTACACATTCTATATAATTCTTATATTTGTGGCGTAAACACTATATGCATCGTTATATATATGGTCATACAAAGCATATGTACCTTTACATAAACGTAAAAGCTACACGTGTCCTTGTATATAGCCCCAAATACTATAAGTATTGTTATATATGCCCGTAAACACTATATGTATCATCATATATATGGCCGTATAATTCATTTGAAGTGAATTTTCACACCCATGTTGCATGTTACTGTAGCGTTTCTGACAACGTGATTAAGAACATTGAACTCAGGGAGAAAAAAACCAAATTTCTCTGCTGCGTAGAACAATAACACATAGATGTATAAACAATAGCTCAAAACAGTGCAGTTGTTGCTGAACATATCTTACACGACTCTAGATAACTGCGACTGATGAGACAGACCCAAGTAGCCCCAACACTATGTGGTTTAGCATTCAAAAAGTAACTCAGTTTTACGGACTAATACGTTAGAATGATAACTCGATGAACGTAACGCACCAGGCTTCGAGAACAATGTCTAAAACACAATTTTAACACAGAAGTCCTCATAAACGATGTCTTCATAAAGATCTCTAACTCAGAAGTAGCATTAAAGAATGATCTGTAACGTAAATCTAACAAGGAATTTCACGCCTTTGTAAAATATAGGTTACACAAAGTTATCTAATAAATAACTCTTGAACACCATCCGAACCACAAACGTAGCAGAAGTAACTCTTGAACACAATTGTTAACACGCACTTAACTCAAAGTAATTATTTAACAAAAATCTGTAACACAAACTTAGACCTGAAATAACACTCGAACATAATGTGTAACACACACTTAGATCTGAAGTAATTCTTGAACACAATCTGTAACACAAACTTGGATCTGAAATAACACTCGAACACAATCTATAACACAACCTTAATTCAGAGGTAACTCTTGAAAGCAATGTGTAACACAAATTCTGATCTGAAATAACACTCGAACACAATCTGTAACAGAAACCTAAATGGGAGGTGGCCCTTGAAATGGATCTGTAACGCACGTTTATATATAAGTCAGAAATAATCCTCCAACATTATCTGTAAACCAAATTATGTTACCACAATTCCGGTATAATAGTCTTAGAAAGATCATTTTAACGCGGAACACATGAAAGGTGTTTGAATACGATATAGCATCATTTCAGTTCTCCAAAATTCTGTACATCATAGCACCTAACACAGATACCGTCTCGAAGAAGCACAATAGATGTAAGCCCTACATGACACAGATCTAAAAATACTGCCACCGAAGCTAACATCAAGTACTGCTAAACCAGTCTGGTTTTATAATACAACGTTTAGTAATAAGAGTAATATTCAATAAACATAGATTTAAAGGTGAATTAATATAATTACTCTACTAAAACAATCACTGACAATCTTATACAATCAGTTATTTCCCAGACATAACAATAGTAGTTAACATATTGTATTGACCAATAACTAACAACCTGACACTTTATAAGTCTTCCTCAATTACAACGACAGTACTTAAGATATGGTAATGTTATTAAAACAATATCTCTCAATCTGATACACTAGTTTCTCATCAGATACAACAAGAGTTAAGCTGTATCAATGTCATTGAAATAACGGCAGACAATCTGATCCAATAGTTCCTTTTTTAGGCACAATAACAGTTGTTCAAATATGTAACTTTAACAATAACTGAAAATATGATACAGTAGTTTTCCTCAAGTACAACAATAGTAGCTGGACAATAAATGACAATCTGATACAGTAGTACATCCTCAGGCATAATAATAGTAAGTAACATCTGTCCTGCAAACAATAACTAACAATCTGATACAGTAGTACGTCCTCAGACACAGTAATAGTAGCAAAGATATGTCATGTAAATGATACCTAACAATCTGATACAGTAGTACGTCCTCAGGGATAATAATAGTGGCAAAGATCAGTCATGCAAACAATAACTAACAATCTGATGCAATAGTACGTCCTAAGGGATAATAATAGGCATATAAATATGTCACATAACAATAACAGACAATCTGATACAGTAGTTCCACCTCAAGTACAACAATAGTTGGTAGGATATGTTATGGAAACAATATCTATCTGATACACTAGTTCCACCTCAAGTACAACAACAGCTATCAGGATATGCTATATAAACAATAAGTGATGTTTTGATACAGTAGTTCCACCTCAAGCACAACAACAGTTGGTAGGATATATTATGTAAACAATAAGTGATGTTTTGATACAGTAGTTCCACCTCAAGTACAACAATAGTTGGTAGGTTATATTATGTAAACAATAAGTGATGTTTTGATACAGTAGTTCCACCTCAAGTGCAACAATAGTTGGTAGGATATATTATGGAAACAATATCTATCTGATACACTAGTTCCACCTCAAATACAACAACAGCTATCAGGATATGTTATGGAAACAATATCTATCTGATACACTAGTTCCACCTCAAGTACAACAGTTATTGGTAGGATATGTTATGGAAACAATATCTATCTGATACACTAGATCCACCTCAAGTACAACAACAGCTATCAGGATATGTTATGTAAACAATAAGTGATGTTTTGATACAGTAGTTCCACCTCAAGTACAACAATAGTTGGTAGGATATATTATGGAAACAATATCTATCTGATACACTAGTTCCACCTCAAATACAACAATAGTTGGTCGGATATGTTATGTAAACAATATCTATCTGATACACTAGTTCCACCTCAAGTACAACAATAGTTGGTAGGATATGTTATGGAAACAATATCTATCTGATACACTAGTTCCACCTCAAATACAACAACAGCTATCAGGATATGTTATGGAAACAATATCTATCTGATACACTAGTTCCACCTCAAGTACAACAGTTATTGGTAGATTGTGGCATGGAAACAATAATTGACTATCTGATATAATATTTTCTCCCCAGTGACATTGATAGTAAAGTAATCAAGATACCAAATATATATATATTTCCATATGTGTATATTTTATCTACTTCAAAAAACATAATACAAAACTATATATGTTCTCAATATAAAACCTGTAGATCACAGACATAGTCATGAAGTTTTAACCATTCTAAATGATCACTTTCATACACGTGCAAAAGCTTCGTACGATGACTAAACCTGACTCCCCTCCTCCCTTTATTTATATGACGATTATTCACTGCAAAACAGAAATCAAACTGTGGTTACTTTAAACCCAATGAAGCTTTTTAAACTGACACGTACGTAAATTTCCTGGAACTCTGATTATGCCGAACTACCCAGCGTGTTTTGAAGATACACTGTACATTGACGGATTATCACTTTATACCATTCTCTATAAATGTGGTTATACGAGCTTACTCTAAACTATTCCATAAGAAAGCTTACCTGAGTGTTAGCTGATGCACTATTAAAACTAAACTGTGAACATGACATGGTTCACAGCCCCTGCAAGATCATGAAGTGGCCAGTTCTCTGTGCCACACTAGAGCAAGTAGTCACAAGTCAGTTCTACACTGGACTGTGGTCAGACACTATAATCAAGGGCGGACAGGTGGTAGGCTTCCACGCGCCTTGTTTCGGCCGCCTCCCGTGCTTCGTGACAATGTTAGGTACAAGCGGTCTAAGTGTGCGCGGTCGTGTCAACAGCTCACAACACTGTGTACTGATGTGTCATTCCGTATCGAGCCCTAGTTCTCGTCTGTTCAGGCCCGCCCGTCCTCTAAGCTTATGGTGTTCAGCGAAACCGTCCACTTGTAGCGGGCAAGTGTAACAGCGAAGGTCGCCGGCCGTCTGCTTCGGTTGTGTGCCTGCACTCTCGGGGGATGGTCGCGAGGTGTATTCAGCCTAGGCCAATCATATTAATTCCTCGCCACAAAAACATTGGCTGTTCGGCGTTCAGCGATAGCTGAGCACAGAGTGAGCAGGTTTCGTCATAACCATTGAAACAAGCTCCGCCTTCCGTCTTAAATCATAAGCGGTCGGCTAAGACAAATTAGCATTAATATACAGCGTCTGACGCACTCTTTGCTTACTCTGCTCTGCTGTAGATGTCAAGAATCAAAACCGCTTGTGCAGAGAGAGAGAGGAGGGGTAGGTGGGGGAGGCGAAGGGGGAGCAAGTCAGTCTAGAGCGACATACAAAGTAAACCGTGTCAACGGGCCCTGGTACAAAGCCAGTAGACATGCGAACCTTGCCAGAAGTCCTGTATTACCACGAAGCAATAGCATAGTGTCGTCTCAGTGAAGGCGTTAACTTTTTTATATTTTTCTCTCTCTCTGCTGTAACGCAAAAAGGTACACGTTTTTACTAGTCTTAGAGCCATGTCAGTTCGCACTGTGTCATCGCAAAAAAAGGTAATTCTAGCAAACAAAAAGAAAAACTGTTTTTATATTTTTATAGTGCGTACGTCACATCGGTTTACATCTATGTGTAATACTAAAACTCGTTCAGTTCCTATTGTAAAAAATTATAACTACAAAACAAAATTACCAATTTGTTGGGGGGGGGATATAAAAAGTATATGCTCACATCTGAGTGTTATTTTATAACTAAAATACTGATAACTGACTCTTCACTGGTGTTTTTATACACTCTCACACTTCACGATTGTAAATTGATCATTTACCACCTCAAAGTTGCTGCTGTAAATACAACAGTGTCCCAAGAATTAAGCACTGTGTATATTACGTAATAATACTTTAGAAACAAAGTTAAGACTGTAATTAAGTATGAAATAACTTGAAATGTGGAATTATTTTGATGAATATAAACGTGTAATACTAACTAACTAGTATCAACTGTCTGCTGTAGTTATAGCTTACAGAAGTAATGAGTGTAACTGAAAAACACAAGGAGTAAATATCTTAGTATTCTATGCAAGTATAATTCGAACAGAGAGAGCTCATAATGGCTGCACTGAATTATGATTTGAATTTATTGATATCTTTGGGCCTTTACTGTATCATCAAAATTGTTGTATTATTTTACAAGTATTTTTTTAAACTAATATCTTGAACCTTCTCATTGGCTCCTGTAAGTTCTCGTCAAGCGTTGTTCTAAGCGTTGCAAGGAGAATATGGAAACAGATGACTAAAGCACTTGTGTACATTAAATTTCTTTGCTTCTGTACTGTACACTTTATCCTCCAGAAAATCTCGTTCTACAGGCCCCAAGAGGACCATGGAAGCTTCAGGAGTAAAGTGAACTTCACAGTAGAAAAAAAAAAAAGAACAAAAAAGTTGCTCTCAGTGGCATGATGTTTGACAAAATTTATATCCAAAGTTGAAGTACTAGAAGACCTTCCAGTTGCTTGGTAGAGGGCGCCTATTTATTATTTCAAGTTTAAAGCTCAAGGAAATAATGACCTCTCTGCGTAAAAGCTTAAATCACGTTGTCATAGATCTTACTAACACTCATTTTGTTCCTCTGCGTTTATACCTATTTTCTAAGTGCTTATTACTTTAGTTTAAAACATTCTTATAATGTGAATGTGAACCATGGAGGATAACATTCGGAAAGCATTTCGTTTTAACTCTATTAGATGAGAGGACTACAGCGATTAATTACACCAACTTAAAATATAACTCTTCCCTCACTAATCAACCGAATTCAACCGTTTCTTTCACCCATAAACCTTCACATATGTGTTTCATGTAGAAGTATGGCATTTCAGAAAGTATATGTTAATTTTTGTGGGTTACAGATTACAACGAAATCAACTTAAACTACCTATAATATATCCTACTTTTGCCAGAAACCCATTAAAAATTAATTTTTGAGTTGTGGGTTTAACTAGATGTTTGTTGAATCAGATCTATTTAATCTGCATACATGTAACATTATTACAGTGCAGACTGCGTGGCTACCGCGACCTCTCTTGGAAACTAATGTAAATTTCCAATACTTAATCCTCTAGATGGCGCCACGTATCGGCATTACTTTGAAAGTTTTTTTTTTTTTAGCAAAAAAAATATACACAATTAGTTATCTACGCTCTGTCCACCATAAACATACTGCTGACACAAGGGAGATATATAAGCATGGAGGAATATATATTACATAATTGTTTACCTAGTGATTATTTTGTTCAAACCGAATGTATAACCTTGTACACGTTTTTTCCATAAAAAATAATAACTAAAAAAATCTCTCTTAAAACATAAAAATCAACCAATAGTTTTATCTGTTCTAGGTTTCAATCGAAAATAAAGTTATTGATTTGATGCACTCGAAGATTCCTTTAATGTTATTGTTTGTTTGTTTGTAATTAAGCACAACGCTACACAATGGGCTATCTGTGCTCTGCCCACCACGGGTATCGAAAGCAGGATTCTAGCGTATTACGTCCACAGACATGCCGCTGTGCCACTGGGGGTCGTAATGTTATTGAAAACGGCTAAGAATTATCGTGTATCAGTAATATCTAAAACTATCAGTCTGATAAGACGTCTACCGACTCTACCCTGTAAAATTTCATGAATAATCATTATCCATAATCAGATGAGTTTTAAATATTTGTCCAAAGTCACTTGGTGAAATGGCTTGTTAATTAGATAGTTTGTATATGAATTTCGCATAAAGCTACTCGATGGCTATCTGCGCTACTCAACACCACTCCACGCCAACTCTTGGGATACTCTTGACCAACGGATAGCGGGATTGATCTTCACATTACAAAGCCTGCACAGTTGAAAGGGCGAGCATGTTCGGTGGGCTTGTTAATAAACTGGATGGACGCGTACACTCACAAAAAAAATGTTTTATTTCATTTTATAGCAAAGTAGATTAAACATACTGTTCTTACATTTGAAGTTATAAAGATTAGCACGTATATGTTTCACCAGTTAGGTACCCTTGTTGTTAGCGGTGTTTTCGGCCGTAATCCCAGTAATACCTGACAAAGTTCGACCAGCTAGATTCAGGTTTGTTTTAAATTCATATACTAAACTAACAATATAAAATAATTTATATGATTAAAATACAATAACAATAAATAAATAGATATATTAACAATTCTAACCGCTACTGTTAATGAAAGCAGCATTAAAGAACTAATGCAGTATAACATGCTTACAGAACATATAAAAATCAGTGGTTTGTTTCATACATTATCGTAGATTTCGTGTTTCTTGAAGAACTTGACATCCGTATATGCAAGATTGTATGTAGTCCTCCTCCCCTATCAACGTTTTGTGACTAATGAAAGGCCATTAAAAGGCTTTGGCAGTGTAGTTTTACAGAAGCTTATCATCTGACACCCTTTACTCTTTAGCTATAGAATCGGGTAACAGGAGAGTACAGATAGTGCACGAAAAACCTAATGTTTATGAAGATAAAATATATATATAAATCTATATAATTAAAAAGAGTAACGTGTGTGCATAAGTGGGAGCTTTTTAAACTTCGTTAAATTATCTAAACATGAAATTAGGAGGAGGGCAGTACAGACGACGTCACCATATGGGTAAGGGAGGGATGGTGTACATGTAAATAGTACTATGCATTGTAAAAGGAAGGGTATTTGGGAAGAGGATCTGTCATCCCTCAGAACCTCATCTCAGACAGCAGTGTTTATGTGTTAAGGTTTTGTGTGTGAATGTGTTTATAGACACCTAGAATACTGGTACCGGCAGACTATTGAGTACGGATCTGGTAGTAATATCACTGAGTTTAACACTTACTCCAGACACCCAGGTTTTCAAGGCGTCGCTAGATCTGGTGTCTCTTACTACATAAGTAGATCGGTTTATCAATTTTGATCGAACTAATCGGTAAAAATTATCTTTTGTACTAGAGGTATTTGGTGAGTATCTTTGTGGAATAGGTTTAACCTCGCAGTCATCGAGACGCCCCGCACGGCCATCAAATTCGTTCAGAACTCTACATACCTAACCTTATACGCGAGCAGTCTAAGCAGGTCACTTAAATGTAGAAGTGATTCTGATTGGTTTTACATTTTACGAACTTGTGCATTCGAGTACAAAACTTACATACTACACATAAAAGAAAAAAATATTTTGTACATAAAGCACGAGTTTTTCTCCTAGTAACAATGTTCGTTTGTTTGTTTTGAATTTCGCGAAAAGCAACTCGAGGGCTCTCTGCGCTAGCCGTCCCTAATTTATCAGTGTAAGACTAGAGGGAAGGCAGCTAGTCATCACAACCCACCGCCAACACTTGGGCTACTCTTTTACCAACGAATAGTAGGATTG